TCTATATTTTCTAGAATTTGTTTCAAAATGTATCTTACTCTTTTTTACAACAGCCTACTAATCACAGTTCTGCACTATTTATTTTCCGTGTACTAAAAGCAAACTCGTGTTTCTTCACCGTAGAAGGAGAACTGCCTTTTCTTCCTTTTTTAAATTAAAATGGTGCAGTGACGTGTTCATCAGACCTCCCTAAACATTTATGCATTCGTTGGGCTTTGCCATCAGTATTAGAGCTAACCAGGAAAAGAAAGTGAATCCCTCATTAAAAAGCAATATGACTAATGATGCATCAGAATGAGTAGCCATTACTCCACTTAAACCTAAATTAAAAATCCTGGTATTTGCATTGTCAATTCACTCACAAAATGAAATCTCTTATTACCTTACCCAATTTTCATTACTGAGACGTAAGTGGATCCCAAATTGCTTTTCTAGTCAGAATGGCATTTTAAAAGTACAATCCCTGATCATCTCTGTTCATCATCATTGTTGGAGATTATCTCAATTAATGGGCAACATGTCTATAATAAATTACCCTTCAGGTAAAATCACTTCACATTTCTGGAGTTTCAAGAAATTTATCAGCAAGATCATTTTCATCTGAACTAAAACTCCATGGGAGAGTGCTGTTTCGATTGAGCCTTTATTGGGAATGTTTTCTAAGCTGAGGAGCAGAGAGAGGGGGAGGGACGCGGAAGAAAAAGGAGACCAAGGCAGAGCTGAGGAGACTCATAGTCTTTACTCAACCTGATCAAATGTACAACTTGCATAACCTGAAATACACTCATCCCCAGCAGACGCCAACCACTGGCCATTGACTACTCTGGAGCAGCTCTTGCTCTTCTACTGTGAGTTTTTTTCAAACACTAGTTTCATCCAAACATTAAAACAACAAAAAAAAAAAAAAAAAAAGGAAAAGGAAATGAAACAGAGAAAGAGGAAGCATCTCCTGACTTTCACAGTGGTGCAAAAGTGCAAGACCTCCCCTGGGTCTACCTCAGCATCACTCTACATGGTGTTGTCTCCCTTTACTGGCTGGTGAGTGCTGGAATGAGCTTGCAGACCCAACGCCTTCACCTTCAGCGCACACCTGAGCTACACACTGCCAAGGCTGACAGTGGTCCCTCAGAGAGTAACTCTTCATTATCTGGAAATAATGACATGACATTTATTGCTAAATTTTTCAACTAGGCAGAACTTGAAGTGACCCCGGAAGATACTGCTCTTGGACCAAAGCCCAAGATCTTTGTCAGCCCTGTCATGAAAGAAATGGACCTAGACGTGCCCCTCCCAGCAGGGAAGGGAGTTTTGCCTACTCATATCAGTGAGAAAAGAATAGGACCAACAAATCAAGTTTTTAGTAAAATTGGACTGCAAACCCAACTTTTTCCCTGTCTCGAAAACAGAAGCAATTTGATTATTAACATGGGTGGAAAGTGGCAAGTATTTTCCATAAAAAATAATGTATCATTCTAAATACCTTAGATAGAAATTAAAGTCGTGGTACTTACAAAAGCCTAAAACTACATTTTTAAAAAAATCAGCAAACACTTGTTCCTATCAAAGCTTTCTATCCTGCTAGCTGGGAGAAGAAATGGTGGCCTCTGACTTTTTGACCTGATGTGCTGAGTGATTCAATTTGAAAATAACACAAATAACAAAAGAAGATGGATGGTGTTTGTGGTATTTTAAGGTCAAAGTACTACGAAGATACATTTATTTTCTTTTCCGTTTCTGTCCAGTAAAGTCAGATCAGTGCTGTGGCCATGTTGAACCAACTGTGAAGATAAGTGTTGAAAACTTATAGACAAGTTAGACAAATTATCTTTTCTGTTACCCTTCAGTGTTACTTCTGCTGGAAGGAAGAAAAAAGAAGATGAGCATTTAATAATGAAACACTTTGATGTCACAAAATGGACCACTCTTAACAGAAATTAAATACAGAAAGACAGAAATTTACTTGACAGATATTTCTCAGCATTTATGAAAGAGATTAGCAAAAAAGACCCAGAATGATTTCA